TCAATACTCTTCTCTAAGAGAAAAGCACCTAAAGTTTTGGGTCACATCACTTTGTCTGTCTGCACGTATGTTTTAATGTGTATCTTTGATACTTTTTTTTAACATGATAACTCAAGCAGTTCTCTTTTTAGGTCACCTGAGTCACTCAGGTGACCTATTGCTATCCGTTCTCGTCCGTTGGCGTGCGTCGTGCGTCGTGTGTTAACATTTGAACATTTTTAGCTTCTTCTCTGAAACCGCTTAACCAATTTCAACCAAATTTGGCATATAGCATTTATGGGTGAAGGGGAACAAAAATTGTGAATTTCATGGTCCCTGCCCCCCTGGGGCCTGAGGGGTGGGGCTAAAACCACCAAAAATAATGCAATCTTTAAAAATCTTCTTCTTTACTCCAGGACATCAAGCAGTCAAACTGTTGGCATCATTGTAACAAGCATTGAGCCCTCTACCAAAATTGTGAAATTCATGGCCCTAGGGTCAGGGGTTCTGGCCCCAGGGTGGGGCTATATAGATCATATAGTGAAAGTGCATTATTTCTTTGAAAATCTTCTTCTCTGCTCCTGGGTATTAAATAAAGTAACTTAGTACATAGTTATGAAGAGCAAGAGTGCCTCTTCCAAAATTGTGAAATTCATGACCCCAGGGTCAGGGGTTCTGGTGTTAGGGCGGGGCTCTATTGATTATATAGTGAAAATGCATTAATTCTTTGAAAATCTTCTTCTCTGCTCCTGGGTATTGAATAAAGTAACTAAGTACATATTTATGATGACCAAGAGAGCCTCTTCCAAAATTGTGAAATTCATGGCCCGAGGGTCAGGGGTTCTGGTGTTAGGGCGGGGCTCTATTGATTATATAGTGAAAGTGCATTAATTCTTTGAAAATCTTCTTCTGTGCTCCTGGGTATTAAAAAAAGTAACTAAGTACATAGTTATGATGAGCAAGAGTGCCTGTTCCAAAATTGTGAAATTCATGGCCCCAGGGTCAGGGGTTCTGGTGTTAGGGCTGGGCTCTATTGATTATATAGTGAAAATGCATTAATTCTTTGAAAATCTTCTTCTGTGCTCTTGGGTATTAAAAAAAGTAACTAAGTACATAGTTATGATGAGCAAGAGTGCCTCTTCCAAAATTGTGAAATTCATGGCCCCAGGGTCAGGGGTTCTGGCCCCAGGGTGGGGCTATATACATCATATAGTGAAAGTGCATTAATTCTTTGAAAATCTTCTTCTCTGCTCCTGGGTATTAAATAAAGTAACTAAGTACATAGTTATGATGACCAAGAGAGCCTCTTCCAAAATTGTGAAATTCATGGCCCCAGGGTCAGGGGTTCTGGTGTTAGGGCGGGGCTCTATAGATTACATAGTGAAAAAGCATAATTTCTTTGAAAATCTTCTTCTCTGCTCCTGGGTATTGAATAAAGTAACTAAGTACATAGTTATGATGACCAAGAGAGCCTCTTCCAAAATTGTGAAATTCATGGCCCGAGGGTCAGGGGTTCTGGTGTTAGGGCGGGGCTCTATTGATTATATAGTGAAAATGCATTGATTCTTTGAAAATCTTCTCTGCTACTGGAGATTATTTAAACAAACTAAGTGCATGATTATGATAGGCAAGGATGCTTCTTCCAAAATTTTTAAATATGTGGCTTCAGTTTTTGGGGCTCTTGAGGAAGGTGGGGGGAGGGCTCTATTGATTATATAGTGAAAAAGCATTAATTCTATTAATTAATCATTAATTAATCCTGTCTGCTCCTTAGCATTGAGCTGATAAATAAATTGCTTAGCTATGATGAAAATGGGAGCTTCGAACAGAATTTTTAAATCGTGTGGTCCTAGGGTCAGGGGTTCTGGCATAACGAGGGGGAGGGGGCTTTTGATAATATAGTGGAAAAGTGTTAATTCTTCGAAGTCCATAGTTATGATGATGAGGGTAACTCTTCCAAATCTGTAAATTTCTTGACCCTTGGTCTTGGGTTCTGGTGTTAGGGTAAGGCTTTGTTGAATCTGTAGTGAAAATGCATTGTACCTGTGAAATTCTTCTCTGCTTCTGGGCATATCGGAAGAAAACTGAGTAAAAGTTTAAATGATATAAGTAAGCGTATTTCTACCAGATTTTTGAACATCTGGACCATTTGTCTAAGCATTCTAGTTCTGGGCAGGGCTCTATTAATTTGTATTCTACTGAGAGAAGTTATTCCCCTTTTCCGTTCACTTTTGATAATTAATCACTGTAAATAATGTATTTGAAAGGTAAATAGAATAAAATAATTATGCAAGAATGTTTATCATATAATTCAAAAAGTATTTTCTTAGTTTTAATAATCAGGTAGACCTGTAAGTAATAGATAAATAAAAATGAGACAAAAATAACTTATCTTATTAAAAGTTCTTCAAAGACCATAAGAGAGGTCAATGCTAGAGGTCTTAAAATGGGTTTAAAAATAGTACAGAAGCACTAATAGTTTGTTAATAGTCTGCATGGTGATAGTGTTAAGTGGAGCACAGATTAGAACTTAATTTATGAGTTGATACTGAATACTAGACTAATTATTTTGTTGATCCTGATCTTCCTACTTCTCTTGCTTTAGGGCAAAAAAGCTTCATCTGTCAGTGTATTTAACTTCTAAATTGTTGTATTATACTCAGGTGACCGTTAAGGCCCTTGGGCCTCTTGTTTTCAATAAGGGTCATATCACTTTGAATGTCTGTCTGCATGTATGCCTGAATGTATAACTACTTAGTTGTTACATTCCTTTAACAGTCCTTTGCGTGACCCTCTCTGTGTCAGTTTTCTAGCTGAGTTTAAATCTCTTACACAAACTGCAAAGTAAAGATTTTTTTACAGTTATACAGCAACATAATGACATATAAAATGAAGTTTATTTCAAATTATGTAAAAACCATTTAAAGGTTTTAAATATCTATTTGAGATTCTTGATTTAATGCAGAAAAGAATATTCAATGTTTTGTGGTTGCATTTATATCAAAATTGGGACCCCTTAAAATTGGTTTGCAAGAGATCGTTTCTCTGGATTTCGAAAAGAATAGACTCACTGGAGGCTGCAAGAGAATACAAAAATAAAAATCTTTAAAAGACATATAAACTTAATTTTTCACCAAAAATAAGGCTGAGACATTGCCGACTCGGCGTTAAGCAATAATCAATCAAAAATCAAGAGGGGGACAGTATTTTACACGAGTGCAAAGTACGAGGGATACTTTAACAAAAAAACTTTTGTATGAGTTAAATAAATTCCATATCCAACTAAAAACATTGAATTTTCTACTACATGACCTTTACTTCGGTTTTCGGAGTTTGTTCGGCCATTTGGTACATTGCAACTGACATAAAAATGTGCTGGCTGTTTTTGTCATTTTACAAAAATATCAAATTTATTCCACAGAAAAAATTAGAAGATCGCACTATTAAAGTATGTACAATAAACATTTAATATTTTATAAGTTATCAATTAAATGGAAATATATTTCTGTTTTAGAAATGCACGAAGTAAACTTCGTTTAATTTAGGCGAAACTTTTCCAATTCACGTGCCTGATTTAGAATCTGAGGTAAGTTCTGACCAACATTCGGCCTTGTATGCCTTATTTCAGAAGTGGATTTCTTTTTACCTTTCTTTTTGATCATTTTTAGGAATCATGGGAGAAATTCCTCACTACACCAGCTCCCTACACTGATACCAAATCTCCTAACTGTATTTCCGTGAGTAAATATGAAAATGGTAAAGATAACGAAAGTGACTGATCTAAAAAATAAATTAAGAAACAATACAAATATATGTGAAGAGGGCATAAAACAAGGATGGGATCAGGTGCCTAGGAGGAATAAGCATCCTCTGTTCACCTGTCACACCCGCCGTGATTGTATTGATCAAGTAGACGGAAAATTTCGCTGTCAAATTCAAAATAAAACAAAGGCCTAATAACTGGTATGAAACACTTCAGCCAAAATACGACCCAAGGATAGGTTATATTTGCTGACAAGGTCAATATAACGACAATTCAATTTTCGAAACTTTAAACGAGGTAGTTAAAATCTCTGTAATATGAATTTATCTGTTAGTAGCCTGCTTCTGTTTAAAGATTGACCGTAATGAGCATGCTCCTGAGTATCGAATAAATTGGGAGATGTAATCAACATATGCAGGCGATAGAGTATATTACTACATAAATAATGAAAGTTGACGAAGGAAAAATAAAACAGGTTCGCTAAAAGAGAAACACATTTAGAGCCCATCGAAATCTCAACAGTTTGTTGGATGACCTGGTCTCCGAAGACTACATAAATGTTGTCAATGAGGATCTCCAGCAATATATAATTCGCTGAAAAACAGATTACTTGATATCAGACTCATGCTTTATCTTATTAAAATGCTTTCATAATATTAAAAAGATATAAAATAAACCAGGAAAAATAACACAAAAATATATCGATAAGTATTCAATAAAATTGAAAATAATGGGTTCAGTAAAAACTGCTGCGATAAACATGCATTAAGCAAACTAGATTTGACACTAGAAAAGGGGTTACTTTGTTGTTCAGGATAGAGTTCTGAGTAGTAGTTTTTTTTTTTTTTTTTTTTTTTTTTTTTTTTTTTTTTTTTGTATTTGAGTACTAAGAAGACAAACGCGTGACTTAACTTCTGTTTTAAATTTCAATTATATTATTTCAAACAATAGGAAACAACAGGATATGAATAAACCTTGATCATATTTAAGACCATTGAGTCTGTATATATTTCAATGAAATATTTATGGTGAAAATTTCTTTGGGATTTTCTTATTTATTAGTGTTACAGATTGAAATTGGACAAAAGGGGATATAGGAGTAGTTATTACTTATTTATAATTGTTACTTGAATACAATTTGAAATTGGACATGAGGGGATAGCGTTGTACCATTTTCAATAGTGAAAGGATTTAAATTATCAGTTAAAGAAAATCGATATTTTTACACTGTAAAAAGCGTTATTTTCATTGTTTGAAAATGACCGAAACAAATGTAGGACATATTCACAAACCAACATGATTGAGAAAGCCAAAAAATGTGAAACTGAAAACTCAGTGATTTGTAGTTGGATGTGGAATTTATATCACTCCTTAGACATGACGTCGACAGTGCTTTGCACTCCTGAAAATATATTTAAAAAAGTCTCCTCTCACTCCTGAAATAAATTACATATCCAACTACAAAACATTGAATATCCTGTATTCTCAAATGAAATTACGTGTATACTCCATAAGTTTTTCTCCAGCCAATCATTTTAGATACCTTGTCTCTGTACTCAGGCATGTTGGACTGTTTCATTTATTAAACGTCCCTATAGCTACATGTCCAAAACATTATATGTCGAAAAGCTTCTAAAGACATCTTAATTTTTGAGATGTTTGGTATATCTATAATTCATAATATAACCTTAAAAAATATAGGGATTTAAACTTCGGTTAAATACTCTCACGTAAAGTAATCTTAATTTGAAGAATTAAAAGCTTTATGTTAAAGGATTTTTTTCCATGATGAGATTGTATAAAAATACTCGACTTTAATTGCATTATTATCTTGAAAATACGTGTAAGGACATATAAAAAAGGTTCCAAATTGAATGTAACTCTTAATTTCATGAATTTTTGATATATATTTTTTTTAAATTTTGATGTAGAGTTTGATTAACACAATTATGAGGAATTACTAGCATTGTTGTAAATATTATCAGTGCATGTGTTTTGATTGTCATTTCTTGAAAATCTATACATAATATAAATTATAAAAACATTCTAAATTTAGAGTCAAACAAAATATGCAAAAGGATCCGTTGTATCTTCAAATTCATCAAATTCATCGTATACAGAAAATGACCAGTGTACCTCCCAGGAAAGATTACTGAAGTGTCTCACCGAAAATCTACCTGATCAATGTCCTCAGGCTAATAATACCGTTTTGCCACAGATTGATTTTCCCAGTAGGAATGACAAAGACAAGGAAAATGACAATGACATAGACAAGGAAAATGACAATGACATAGACCAAGAAAATGACAATGACATAGACAAGGAAAATGACAATGACATAGACCAAGAAAATGACAATGACATAGACAAGGAAAATGACAATGACATAGACAAGGAAAATGACAATGACATAGACCAGGAAAATGACAATGACATAGACAAGGAAAATGACAATGACATAGACCAAGAAAATGACAATGACATAGACAAGGAAAATGACAATGACATAGACCAGGAAAATGACAATGACATAGACAAGGAAAATGACAATGCAAAAATACCCGAAATGCTCAAAAGCAGTAATCCAACATCGTCAATGAGTAAAATATAGGAAAAAGAAAACAGAAGAAAAATGTCGAGAGAATTTCTGCCCCCTGGTTATGCAAAGGTTTTGTCTCCTTGTCTCCACGGTAAGATAATAAAAAAGGTTATTAATGTTTTTGTCAATAATTAAAAATAAAAAAGTAAGATAATCTCCTTTCAAATGTGAGATTTAAATTGACAAGATGCATGCTCACACAGAAAAGGTTAATTAATTTCTTGTGCATTCGATTAGAAAATGGTAAATGAAATGGGACTTGATTTGAATTTCAACAGACATAAATAGGTCACCGATTGATATTGGAATCTCCACGAGGGACTCGCCATCTGATTCAAATGAGATCATTCAGGAGACAGTGTCATCAGATGATCATAATATAGGACAAAATGAGGTCCATCCTACCATATGCTCGAAAGGTACAATTGATTAAATGATATTATAATGAATTCTGTATATCTATAACTTAATATGTAGTGAACTCGGATGACTGGATAATGTTTGTTTTCTTCTTGCAGCAGACATAAATAACATATCAGTTAACCCACAACGATCCACCGATGAAGAATCTTTGAATGATCAAACAATTAATGATGAACGTTATGTAACTAATGATGCTATTGGGTCAATGAAAGCAAACTCTCGGTTACGAATAGAAATAATGTCGAGCACCAAAGCAGGAGTTACCTCCCTCCCGACTTGACATGTGCAGGGGAAAAAAGGCATATCTTCCAGCCTCACAAACAATATGATAAATACTGGTCTAAGCAATGTCAATACAAATATAATTGATGACTCATATCAGAAGAAATCAACACCAGCTTTAAACTCAGATGATTACATTAAAAATGATTGTTTAACCAATGATGGTGTACCTAACGCATCTAAAATCAATAACATTTCAATTATAAATAAATACTTCTATTAATTCCTCTGAATTAAGCGATCATTTAGCGAGTAATTTTTGTCAAAACGCGGAAATGTGCACTGAATATGTTTTAATGACACTGAGCCAGACGTTGAGTCAAGCGTGAAATTCATACTAAATGCAAAGCAATCGCCTGACCGCCTTCCAAATGATGCATTTAACTAGAATACCAGTGAGAAAAACCTCGAGTTTATCGGATATGTACCATATTCTGGAATCATAGATGGAAATTTCTAGTCAGGAAAATGTACACTACAGGCTGTAAAAAGAGGTTTTATTTCTTGCCTTTACATTTATTTGTTGTAGCTTATTATTCATTTGTTTACAAAAAAGATATACACTGACTCTTTTGTTAGCTGTTCGGTGTTGTACAAACCTTGAATTAAGTAACCAAGTACCGATGAAAGGAAGTCTGTGAAAAAACGCTGATAGTAAACTTTTTATTTCATTTAAAATTACATTTGATAAAGGTGTCCCTGGTACATGTATGTGGAATATATTATCTGGTTTATTGTTACGTTTTCTATATCTGTTGCCTTTCAAAAGTCACACATGTAGATATGTGGAATTATATATATATATATATATATATATATATATATATATATATATATATATATATATATATATATATATATATATATATATATATATATATATATTCCTCAATAATGGAACATTGTTAAAATGTATTCTTTCGCGGGTACGTTAAGGCAGTACACAGATCATATTTCGGCGAATTTAGACTTTTTTCGTAAAATGTAACATTGATAAATCGGAAAAGCCATAGATAAAACATTTACTATTATTATCCATTGTATAGACGTCATTGAGTCTTAGGCTAAAAGAAGCACTCCACTACGACGTCATCACGTGACGTCTATAAATAGAAAAATAGTGAAAAGTTCAACACTACCCCGGGGATAATTCATTTCTTTTTTTGAAAATAATTATGTAAAAACATCACTGGACCATGAAAAGTGCTGCTAGAATCCTACTCTCCAAACACAGAAAAAAATATTCCAAAGTTTCGCATGAAACCATACCAAAATTTTTACATTTTATACATACGATCAAGGAATTGTCATCAAATTATGTTAACCACACGATTCTAGCAGCACTTTCCAAGTACTATAGAATACAAGTTTTCGATACAAACAAAAATTATGTTTCACAGTATGCGGCGTAGTGTTGAACTTTTGCATCTTTGTTGTTATAGAGCGACAGAAGAAAGGTTGATCGGGATTTCAAAGCACTGCCTGTGTTCATTACAAGAAAACATGATAAGAATATATCAGCGTACCTGATTCATAATCTTTAATTCCTTATGAATCACACATAACATCCACGGTATATGCTATAAAACTCCCATTTCATATATTTGTTTACATGAATTCTCGTCACGTTTCATTTTCACTCGGCAAATATATGATCAATAGTTATGACGTTATGGGTTTGGTATTTAACCCCCGTGATAAACACTTAGCTATTTCTACCACCCAAAAACGACAAGATTTAGTTTATATTCTGGTTTTTGAATGATTCCATTCATTTCTTGGACGTGAAATTAAACTTAAGATATAGATATTAAGAAATCATTATCTGTAAAGATCACGTCATACAGCTTACTATGACGTCATTTTGTAAAGGCAAGTAGGATATCTTTGGGTGTAGCCTTAAGGGGATGAAGGACACATGGTCACATGACTTTGTTAAACTACGTCATAGTCTCCATTTATATAAGTGCAAAACGTGTAAAGCATCAGTTCTTGTGTAAATTTTTGACAATTTTTTTTCTTTAATTACCATCTTATATTAAAAAAAATAAAAAGTTTAACATTCTTGTGAACATTAACAAATTATGAAAAAAGATTGATCCACTCCTGTGTTTCTTTAAACTGCGCGTCCAACAAGTCGGTGACGTCATACACGATCTGCTAGTACAGCAAGATCATACTCGGTGAATACAAGGGCGGTATTATTATGTAAAAACGGGTCATAATCAGTATATGATGAAGTATTTTAAGAAACGGGGAACATAAAAATTATTTTTGCATGGCTGATGACGGAAATCTTATGTAGGTATATCTTATTTCGCTTATTTAGCTTACATGTGACGTCATAGTTGGTTTTTCCCGTAAATGTAGACAAGTTTTTGTCCTGCTTATGTCGTCTTTAACGGTGTCCTGTGCTATATTGAGGTCAGCTTCACCATTCGAATTTTTTACAGTTAATCAATAATTTGAAGGACTTGCATTTCAACGTAAATTGAAAAATATTGAATGGTAGGATTTTTTGTAAATTACGGTTTTTGTTGTTTAAGTTGTCTTAAATAGTTCGTAATTTTCCCTATCCAGATGCAGTGTGATAGATGAAACTTGCCTTTTCGAATTTTAAACCCAATTCATACTCTGAAATATTTTAAAAGATACATGTTCACTTACATATTCTTTATTCGTGCTTCAAAAATCCAATTATGGACAGAGTAATGAGCCCGGAAACATGGAGAATTAAAACTCCACTTAGAAACTGTAGGGCATAATATTTGTCAATCAATATCTCTAAAATAAGGTAAGAAACCTAATGATATAACTGCTTTAAGATATGTGGGACATACTTAATAAGAAATATACAAAATATAAAAAAAAAAATTGAATGACAAGTATTTTCTCAGCTAAAGGTCCTTCTTCCCCTTAACATACCCGCGTTATTTCGTGAAACTAACAATATGATAAAACAACTGTTTTAGCTAAATTGAACAGCTTTGTACAGCATACAAGCGGCCTTAGATTAAATAATTTACTTTTTTGTAGTCAAAGGTGTGTTTACTACACTGGAGAACTTGCTGTATAGAAAATACCATAATTATGTATCTCATTAAAAAGGGGTGGTCTCAGAAAAACACGATTTTTTTTAATATTTCAGAAACCCTTTGACTAAAGTTAATAATTTATTGCACTTAATTGGGAAATGATCACTTTGTTATTTTGACAAATTTTTATAAGGTTGTAATGTCATATATATTTGAAAAAAAAGCATTGAAAGGTTGTTAAACATCGGTGGTCGGCGCACGGCAATTTTACGAATTTTCAAACAAGAATCATCAATGAATTTGTCTTTATAAGCAGGATATACGAAAATATAATGTGACTAAGCTAGTTTACCTCCATTAAAAGTCCATGATCTAGAGTACTCGTTTTAAAAAAATTATTAATTTGTCATCACTAATGACAAAATATGACGTTATATGCCAAAACACTTTTAATTAGATATTTTCAAAAAAAGAGACGTTGGGCGATAATGCGGAGCACCAAGTTATAAAGCAGTACTGACTTGAGCAGGATACGACTCCTATTCATACGGTAAAAATGTGTCAACAATGGTAAAAAGCAAACATGAAATATGGAGATAACGAACATTATTCAAGCTCAAAATCCATTAAAAACAATACAAATTTGGAGCAGAGCAAACATGGACCTCCATTAACATCAGAGGTGGGATCAGGTGTCATGGAGGAGTGAGCATCCCCTACCTCGATCACATCCGCAGTGTGCTCTTTGTCATAATCGGTAAATAACGGAAAAATCCGTCGACAATTCATAGTTTTGGGGTTTGATATGTTCCGGAAAACACTTTTTTTATTCTGCTTGTCAGGAAATTTTCTGGGTTCGTAATTTTTTTCGACCGGGGTGGTCCCCTCCTGGAAAAGAATCCTGGATACGCTCCTGGGTTATTGTATCGAACATAGATCTAGAACTTACAAAATGATGACTTTAAACGAGACTGTTGATATTCTTGTTACATCAACTTGTTTGTCAGTAACTTACTTTGTTTTAGAAATTGTTCATACTGAGAATCAACTGAGAGATATACACCCCATATGCCGGTGATAAGGGTTTATTGCTGCAGAGGTAAGGGAAGCTGACGATTGAAAAGTGAAAATCATCACATTTATTATAAAGTTTTGTTTTTATATTACAATTGGCTTCTTTTTCTGATAAAATTTCGGAATATGAAACAGATATGTCAGACTCTGTGGTGTGTTTTAATTCAAGATCACTGGGATATGTCGTGTCGACATATG